ATATATATATATATATATATATATATATATATATATATATATATATATATATATATAAACTTTCAGAATTCTTTCAGTAAATCCTCTGTGGCCAGTGTAGGAACAATTTCATTTTTCACTTCAGGTAGGTGCAACAAATCTCCATCAAACAATTTAGTTAACATTCTTTCCTAAGAAAGGAACAAATAGAGCCCCCCATAACACCTATGAGGTCTGCTTGTTTTGTCCTTGGTATATTGCATTTTCTACCTTTGGAGCACATCCACCACAGCTACTGGGCAAAACTTTAGCTAAATTCATGATCAGGGAAGCAGATTATATGATTTAGTTTTTTTCTGCATTTTCAGAAGCTGTGTTTCAAGGAATTACAATTTCTCATGTGATGCAAACTTTACCAAAAAAGCTTCCTGCCCCGCCTAAATCTTTGCTCTGTTATTAAGTAGTGATTCATTGATTAAGTGGTTTGGTCCTCTGCAGCTGTAATTGGAGTGAAACTTTGATTTACAGATTTGAAAAAGAAAACACTTTGCATGAAAGCCTACTTTCTTGTACACTCACCAAGCACTTTATTTGGACAACATGCTAATATTTGACACTTTTTATTTCCACTTAAAAAGTTTCTAAGTTAGATGACTAAAACCCTTAAAACACAACCCATTCAAATAAATGTAAGTAAAGATTGATAAATTGGTGGCACATTTAGAGCATACATGGAGTAGGATGCAGGTGTTTATCCTGTAGCTGGAGAGTTGCCAGTACCAACCCCAGCTCTGTCTGTCACAGTCATTGTGTTTTTGGGCAAGAAGCTTAACTTAAATTGCATGCTGATGGTGGTTAGATGGCTTGGTGGTCTCTGCATACTGTAGCCTTGCTTCTGTCAGTGAGCCCCAGGGTAGCTGAGTCTATAAGGTAGCTTGTCACCATCAGGTTATATATTTGTGTGTAAATGTGTTCCCCTGGCCCAAAGAGCCACTATATAAGTAATGGCAATTTACCATTCTATCTAAATTGAGTTTCCAGCTAATAGCATGATTGCAAAGTTTCCCATCGTATCATTAACTCCAAAGTATCTTTTATCTGGGACAATGCTCGACTTTGCCATCCAATGTTTTTATCTTGGGTTTGGGTCTCGTCTGCATATTTTTTTTTCAGCCTACAACTGTCCACTTAATCAAGCTTTTACCTTCAATAGATTTAAAATTCAGCTTTTTGATGTCACTTTCGTTCCTTTACCGCTGCCTTGGTTAAAAAATCTGCTTTCCTTGCCTCTTCCTGTGAAAAAATTCATGTCAAAAATTTTCCATTACCCAAAAAATTACATCCCTTGTACAGCAGCTAACATTTTTTTTAGAAGGCTACCAATAGTTAATTTTAGAAATTTGTAGCTCTTCCTAATCCAAAGGGCCACAGAAGGCAAAATACAGAAAAGGTTCTCTTTTTATTAAATTTAAGGTGAGCAGTCACATTTCACAGACTAATCTTTAGAGTTTACCTGTGTTTCTAATAAAGTGCTTGGTCATTGTATGCATGCCTGAATGCTAACGTCTTTTGTGCAGCCTGGTTTTGAATTATTTTCACAGCTAATTTATTGGTCATTTTTTGCTGCCTCCTCACTCCCGTCACTTTGCACAATTGTCAGTTTTTTCCACAGTTCATAGGATATCACCTGTGATTTAACTGCTCTCTAATGTTACCATGAAACACATGTTAACATCCTTAAAAAAATAATCCGGCAGAAGGCAAAATTTTTGTCATTATGGATTATAATGAAAACACATCTTTGGGATCTTCAGGGTTCCTACACAGTGTGGAAAAATATTTAATTTGTCTTCAACACTACTTTTTTTAATAAGATAGCTTATTAAAAAGAGCAATTGCTCTAAAACAGGCTATTATGAAAAGCAAGATAGCTTTACTTGCTGTAGTTCATAATCTTCAGTTTCTTTTAGGCCTGCAGCTAACGATTATTTTGCAAATCAATTTATCAATCAATTATTTTATTGATTAATCGATTAACAATCGGATAGCCAAAGATTCTTTAAAGAAGACTTTTTATGAAATTAAACCAGTTCAAACTTAAACTTTTCCACTTGAGGAGTTCTGGATAAAGAATATTGACAGACACATTTTTTCTTTATCTTAAATGCAAAATGTTTATAACAATCTTTGTTTAATTATTGCTCTAAGTGGGTTGCTCTTTCAGGTAAAGTCATATTTTAGAGTCTCTATACTCCAGTTAACGATGAATTAATTATTAAATTAGTTAACGATTATTTCAATAATCGATTAATCACAATTTATCCGATTAATTGTTTCAGCCCTTGTTTGCCTCGTTCACCTTGTTTCAATATTCAGTATTTATGTTATGGCATTTGAAGATAATCTGTTGCATTTATAGCACTAATGCATGTCTGTTGTGGATATGTCCACCTTAAACTAGCTGGCAGCATGACTGTTACTTACTCATCTTTACATAAGAGACAATACTATACAATACTATATAGCAGCAGAAAAAAAATCTGAGGTAAGAAAACCAGCTATAGATGGTGTTCTCTGACATATTGAAATAAATCTAAGTTTCTTGACAAAAGCAAGCTTTAGATTTCATTATATTAAAGGTAATTATGTTATGCTATATTTTGAAATATGTTAACATATATATAATGTTATATGTATAATGTTAACAATGAGCCCTTCAGAGTTCGTTTTTGCTGTTTGTACAGTAAAATTCTTCTCAATTTAGGTAGACAGCGCGCTCCAATAACCAGCTCATTCAGCGCTTTTCTAAACGAGCTGTTTTGGCTTTGCCCCTGCCGTCACAAAGGTTGTGCTTCCACAACCATGACAACCAGTCAGAGTTTTTAAGGAAGGTGAAAAGGAGCGTGGAATAATACATAAAATGAAGGCCTAACCTTTATCCAATTGGCTTTTACAGACCAAGTAACAGGAGCAGACTGACTGGATAAACGCTCATTACCAATAATCTATGTTGTTAACAATAAAAACACCCCCTTTTTTAATCCACCAGTAATACAGACAAATCTCACTGTAACTATCTCAATACATAGAAGAGAGTATATCTTCTTTATACGGAACAATCAGGTTTTTCAGGGGACGGCGTTAAAGCTTAGACTGTAAACAACCTTTTAATAAACAAAACTGGCAAAGCATCTATCTGCTGTGATAAACTAAACAGGCAGCCACTGACAGAAGTAATTTAGTACAAGCATACATCTTATGAAAAAACAACCACTTATTAAAACAGCCGAGGCTCTCAGGCTAAGCAGTCTAACACAGTAATGTTATTCCCGGCTCTTACCTTTAAAGCTTTGTAATGGACAGCTGGTATCAATCCACTCCTCTGTTTAAGATGTGTGGAGAAGCCTGCTTTGTTAGCACCGAAAGTATGAAAGCAATGCTCTTTGAAATACTCAGAACACAGATGCAAAACCTTTGGAAGTTTTGAAACTATATCCATCGAAACTAAAATGCATGAAATGAGTCTTCAGGGGCTCAGATGAATGCAGTAAAAAAGACATTCCATGTCTATAACCTGGAAGTACCTGCTCATGCAGATCAGCTGCATTCATCAGTTCACTTCTGCAGGGTTTTGAGCACCAAGACCTATTAATTTCTTGATGTCAATAAAACATTTTAATTACTGCATCTCCTCCATGTGATTCTATCCATGATGAATTACATTTGGGTTTTTATAGTAAGTGGCAATAAACATTGATAGTTGCATGTTTCTGTAGCATATTATCTACAGTTGGTGCACTGCAAAAAATGGAAATCTTAATAAGTCATTTTTGCAAAAATTTTGTGCATTTTTTCTTGAATTGAGGAGGTAAGTGTGACACTTTGCCAATGGAACGAGACAATTTACATTTAAAATAAGAAAAAACTATTGTTTTGTCTTAATTCAAGCATATATTATCTAATTATCTTATTTTAGGAGTAAAAATGCTAATTCAATTGGCAGGTCATCTTATTTACCTGCTCAAATTAAGGGTAAATACACTTAATTCAAGACATTTTTCACTTATTTTTAGGTGTTTTTTGCAGTGTGTGGCTCAGGTGATTAAAAAGGGTCTTAATTCCAAGAACCCATACACAGTAGCTAAAACATATTTGCATCTAAAAAAAAAAAAGGTTTATGGCAGTACATAAAAAACAGAGAGAAAATGAAATGAGATATTTACATGTACGAACATTTGAGTCTGAAAAAGTCAAAAATTCTCAAACCGAAAATGTGTCAGAACCCTGGAGTTTTCAGATTGTTACTTCCGCAAATGTCCAAGCTCGAGAGCAACTCTTTTTCTCCCCCCCTGACTCATGAAGCCATCCTTACTCTACTGTTAATGAAAACAACTACTTTAACTTTCATATTTTCAATTTATGTCCTAACTGAACCAAATTGTAAATTAAGTTTAAAATAAATCTCTTGATTTATCTGTGGCTGTTTGAGCAATTCGAAAAGGCATTAACTGACAATACATCAATGTTAACTTTGATTTACTTTTTTCCTAATTTGATAGTAACCTACTAAAATCATTTTTCCTGATATTAAACAACAATATGTTTTATTCAAATCACTAATACTAACCAACTTTTGCAAGTTTGTACATGCATGATTCTTATATTGATTCTTATATACAATCAACAAAGGCTGTTGATTTTATATTCTGTTTCTTTCATTCCTTCTGAAGATGGTTGAAAGGGCAGCAGGAAGACAAACAAGACACAGATGTGCATTACCACTCCCTGACCGGTGAGGGCAACTTCAACTGGCGCTTCGTCTTCCCCTTCGATTACCTTGTAGCTGAGGAGAAAATCGTAATCTCTAAGAAGGAGTCCATGTTCTCCTGGGATGAGACTGAATACAAAATCCCTCCTCGTCTCACGCTGCAGGTCTGGGATGCTGACCACTTTTCAGCGGATGACTTCCTGGGTAAGGACTGATGATAGTTATCTTTATCAAAGTAGGTTTAGGGGTAGGTAAGTCGAAATATAGCTTTGTAGATTGAAACGCTGCTAGAGAAATTATTTCTCACACTAATAAGTCTGGATCTACTGGATAGAAGACTAGAAGCATCTATGAAGCCGAGTTGATGACATTATAGATGCCTGCAGAAATATTTGTATTGTGCTATAAAGCAAGCTATCTTTTAAACTCTTACTAGATACTATTAAATATATACTATTATATACTTTGATTCATAAGATTAAACTAAAACCTTGATTATCTAAAAAATTTTTTCCAAGAACCTATGTTTTATTTTCCCAAGATTAGATTTTGTGACTGAACGCAAGAATTTTTACATCAAATTTAGCTGGGAATTACTTTTTTTTTTCTTTTTATAATTAACTAAAGAGAAGTCCTAAAATTAGTGATTGTAAAATTTGCAGATTGACTTTGGAGCATTGTTGTTGTTGTGCTAAAAGGCGGTTAGCCATTTAGTCTATTCATCAAGTGATAATTAATACTAAAAAGCATATCAAGGCAAATTATATAAATTACAATTCAGTGCTGCTTTTCCTGAAGAAGTATGTGATGATGGGAAAAGAGCCACGCCCTTCAACAAGAAGAGACCTCCAGCAGAATTAAGCACATTTTTATGAAAACGACTCTAGCTTGAAATAGCAGAAATGAAACCTGAGGAAAAAGAAAACAAACTGGAAAAGAAAAACCAAGAGTAAAAAAATTATCACAGTAAAATCTTCTACAGGATCTTGAGTCAGAGCACATTCTTCTAAGATAAAATCTAAATATAATACAAAAATAGGTTTGACTTCAGCCAGGAGAGAGAGAATGGATGTTTTTTTGTCCATGGCACAGGAAAGATTATTCATTTTAATTCTTCTTCACTTGACAGTACAGTTGGACACCATTTCACATAATTTCCTTCATAGTCTTTTAGCATTTTTTTAACAACTGCCTTTCTGTCCAGGTTCATGTTATCTATATCAGACTGCATCCATCTTGTTCAGTTAGAAAAACATCTGTCCCAAACTTATTTAAAATCCTCATCTTACCTGTCTTGTTTGGTGATATATTCAATATATTCCATCTAATATTCCACTGTTATGCAGATGACACCTTTCCCTATATAGCCAACCTTTCAGTTCTCTCCCTGACTGTCTAAAATATGTTCAAATCTTGCTTTCCCATAAGTTCTGAAACTAAACAAACATAAACAGATCTTCTTTTTACAGCAGCCGACACCATTCTTTAAAAATGAATTTATCTTATTTACATGTTAAAAATTCCTTTATCCCTTCTTCCTCTTAAGTTAAGAATCTTATTGTTGTACTTGACTGAACTCTCTCCTCTTTATGCACATACAACTTGTAACATCACACAATTTTCTTAATTCCATCTCCATCCATCCCTCACCCCTAACAGCTACCTTAATTAATGCTCTCTTCTGATCTGGGGTTGTTTACTGTATTGCTGTATTATATGGCCTAAATACCCTGCTAGGCGTCAGCTGAACCGGAATTCTGCCCTCAGCATCATCTCTTAGCAGCATATCTCACATATCTTGAAAAAACAGATTTGTTCAGTTATTTATTTTATTTAGAATTCAACATTTAACATTCAAAACCCTCTATAGATGTGCCCCTCCACATCACTCTGAACTTAATGAAATCTATGCTGAGGTCTGTCAACTACCCCTGTCAATAGTCTAAGATCAGTCACATAAAATGAACTTATTCAAATCCTTTATTTTGGAAAGAACTCTACGTAAATATTATGCCTAACACAGGGGAACCAGAATCTTTTGAGAAGGTACTGGATGCACAATAATAACTTGGTAACAGATGTACACACCTGCAAACTCCACTAGCATTTCTCCTAAAACAGGTTTTCTTATCTGTATTCTATAAGTTAATAACTACTGAATCCAAACACAAAAAGACATTTTGAGAAACACAAAGACATTGCATTTGCAGTTCTGTTGCTTTTCATGACTGTTACAGAGATAAATTCAGCTTTATAAGATTTGATTACAGCCCAAAGATTCAGCCTTTTGAAATATGTTTGCTTTTATATTGTGCACTTGTCAGTTGTTACGGTAAGTCTCATAATCATAATTTCACTTGACCGTCTTTTCTTTTCATTCAAGGGGGGATGGATTTTTACCAAAAGTGGCTTCTCCTTTTTTGTGCACTCACACAGATTCACATCCATGCAGATAATGTTGAAATAAAAAACACAAACAGGAAAAACACAATTATTTACGAGGGAGAGACATATCTGTTGCTTCCCAAACATCTCATAGAGTTTGAGATAAAATCCTTTGAAAGTATCTCACAAGTCAGAGGCTGAATGCTTTTCATATCACCATTTTCCAGGTGCTATTGAGTTGGACCTGAACAGGTTCCCCCGTGGGGCAAAAACTGCCAAGCAGTGCACCCTCAGCATGATCCGAAATGAGCAGGAACTTCCCACCATTTCTATCTTCAAACAGAAAAGGGTCAAAGGCTGGTGGCCTTTTGTGGCACGTGATGAAAACGACGAGATGGAGCTCACAGTAAGACAATCATCATTTTCATAAATGGCTGTGATTTCATTAAATCATAGTTGGAAGTAAAAGATAAAATAGGATAAAGATATAGAACTAAAAATATTTTTTTTTACAAAACAAGAGTAGTAATGAAGCCAATCTTAAAGAAATATGTCCACCTATGAGTATTAATCCAAATGTTTTGGTTTGTTTTTCCATGTAAATTACATTTTTATTCTGTATTTGTAAAATAAAAAAATTTTGTGATTACAGGGCAAAGTTGAGGCTGAGCTTCACCTTGTCACTGCTGAGGAAGCGGAGAAAACTCCTGTTGGACTGGGAAGAAATGAGCCAGATCCACTGGAGAAACCCAAGTAAGACTTGGAATTTATTAGATTTTAAATTTTACAAATACAAAACATTATTTTAAAGTAAAAATTTGTGTGAATCGTTTTCAACAACTATGCTAGACACACATTTGCCTTTTTTCCTCATTTTACATTCATTCCTTTGGTGCAATAAGTAGTGTATCAAGACTTATTATATATTTATTTTTGAACAGCGCTGCTTTTTGCACTGTTTAAAGGTCACTGTTACACACTCGTTTCTCCTCCTACCATGTCTTCAACTGTGTCCCTGTCTCTTTCCCTCCCCACGACCCTTTCCCTCTTTTTTGTACACACCACTCACCCTTTGATCCCACTCTCTGCCTTATCTGCGCTCCTTTTTTTTTTCCTCCTCCCCTGCTTTCTTCGGAAAAGCCGTCCGGATACGAGTCTAATGTGGTTTCTGGGCCCTCTGAAGTCACTTCGTTACTTCATCTGGCACAACTACCGCTGGCTGATCCTCAAGGCTCTGGGACTTATACTGCTGCTGCTCATGCTTGGCCTCTTCCTCTACTCCATCCCAGGCTACCTTGTCAAGAAGATCCTTGGGGCCTGACGCGCTGGTAGCCTCTGCCCCCTCCTCACTTTCTCTGAGGGATTCAGCTCTTTTTATTACCTTCTCTTGTCTTTCTTTCTCTGCTGTCTCCCGCCTTTATTGCCATTTACCCTTAGAAGTAGATTAGTCTACATCCATAAATATTTCTTCTTGTTTTTGTGTCTGTTGCCAACAAGTGCTTTTGTACATCTCATCTGTGGCCGCCTGACTGATGTGGAACAGATGTTTGAAATAAATTGTTAATGCAGTTTTGGATCAGTGATGGAGATAAAAAGTAGCCAAGTGTCACAAAAGAGTTTTTTTTTTTTTTATTAGGATAGTCTTCTGCACAATATAAATATTTTTTTTAGTTAACCTTTATTTAACTGAATACTTTATTACGTTGGTGAAGGTTCTTAGTTATCCAGGTCATAGTCATTACAAAAAGTAAAAAAAAAACAATCCACTGGACTATTATTATTAATAGTCCAGTTAAAATATTATTAGCTTATAACATATTTACACAACTATAAGTTATGGAGGTAATTAATTACTTTAGTTTCAAAGTAATATAAAAAGAAATCTTAAAGGAAAATATTAACTATGACAATATACAAATAAGCTACACTGTTTATTGATCAACATTTATGTATTTCAGCAGTGCTGTGTCAACCATAATCTGAAATTACAATAGTATCACAAAAAAAATGTTAAAAAAAGAAAAAAAGTTCAGTTGTTTTAATCTCTTTGGTTCGAAAATAATAGAAATTGAACAAAAGGTAATAAAATCCCAGAGCAGATCTTAATTAGTAATCATTACACAGAGATAAGCCAAAATTGAAAGCTCTGTTTTAGGTTTGTTGAGGTTTTGAGGATCCAAATGCAGAGGCAAGGAGGCAAGGGTGAGTTCTTGCAGTTTTAACGTAGCGATCACAGGTAACAGAGGCAGGAATCCAAATATCCTACTTAAAATGTTAAACAAACCAGAACCATAGAGACCTCAGGGGAAAACAAGCACGAGGAGCTAGAGAAAGATGAGGAACCAACATTAAGGAACTGAACAGGGAGAGTTTTTAAGATTGACTGAACAAAGGCAGGACTAACGAGCTGATTGGGAACAGGTGTGAACAGAAGTTTCTAAGAAAAGAGCTAAGGAAAAGGAAACCAACACAAGAGGGCGACAGAGGGCAACAAAGAAAAGCTTAAGTACTCAAATATATCCAAAACACAACAAAATAGGAATTAAACCAAAAAAAAACTAGAAAACAAAGAAAAACACGAATCAACATGTAACTGAAAATTCAAAGAAAACAAAACAGAACCAAGACCATAACATTTACGTGAAAGCAGAAATGAGTAAACCCCATAAATTGATAGTTTTTATCCCTTTCTGAACCACCTTTAGAAGTAATCACTTAGAATTGTTTTTATTTAGACTTAGACTAAATTTTATTGTCAAAACAAGATTTTGATGCATACAGTTTTTTTAACAGTGAATGAGCAGCTCACAACAGTAAAATGAACTTTACCATTTATAAAGAGCAACAGTGATCAGAGTGTAAACAGTGTAGGAGAAAAGGAAAAAACAGTTTAAAGTCATGGTGCAAAAGGCATTGATATAGAAAGGTTTGGTGTAGTGTAGATAAAAAGATGTGGTGCAAAATGCAGTAGAAACATTTAAAGTGATTGTATTTTCATTCTCTCTGATATGTCAGATTTTTATAGTATTTATGACCCACTCTTCTTCTTGGATTACTTCTATGCTTGCATGGCAAGATTTTAGACAAACTGAATTGATTGGAAAACTGTATTATGCTGAACATACCGTATGATAAACTTCTTGTATTTCTCACAATTTATCGAAGCCCTGAACCTCTGACTCTGGGTTTTTCTAGATAGGAATACGCTTGCATATAAGAATTCAACCGTTCCTGCTAAATAACTTGTAGTTAACACTAAAAAAACACAAGCTTTGTTACAATCCTTGACATAAATAAGGCTTTTTTTCACAACACAAAAAGCTTGGCTGTCATTTAATGATTTTAAAAGTATTGCCTAAATTTCTTATAACAGAATCCCCTGTATTGTATTTAAGTAATACTGTTTTGGCATGTCTTTTTACTAAATGTTCTTCTGCTTTGTTAAGTATTTGTTTTCCTTTAGCTGTTTAACTTTAAACTCCTTGAAGTACAGGAGTATGTAATTTTGATATAAAGAACCAGATTTTCAAGACTGAATTATCACCTCAATAAAAACTAACAAAGCCTTTGGGGGTTTGTTAGTTTGTACTTGTGGAGCCTGAAACCTCCTGAGAAAGGAGTGTAGAAAAGATAAGAGCTTGTGCAGCTTTCAGTCGGTCATGTGTGTATTTTTCCATCCATTATTCATATCAACCTTTACCAACCATACTGTAAAGCTTTTACTCTGGGAGTTTTTTCCTCCTAATCCTTTCAATCATCAGTTTGATATGAAAACAATGTATCAGTAAGAAAAAATGTAATATTATTTTAATACACTAATACAGCTTTCTTTTGTCTCCCATTTCTGCCCTTATATGTCATTGTATTCTCCAACCCCTGTATTTATCTCTTCTTAATTCCCACCCCTCCACTTACTCCACCTGCATGCCATTACCCACGTTCCTGCTTCCATTCTATCAAACCTTCATGTGCGTAATCCAGCCGTCCAGACACCACCTTCCTGTGGTTCCTGAGCCCGTTGAAGGCCATCCGCTACCTGGTGTGCAACCGCTACAAGTGGCTGATCATCAAAGTCGTGCTGGCCCTGCTCCTGCTCGTCCTGATTGGCCTCTTCCTCTACAGCATGCCGGGTTACCTCGTGAAGAAACTTCTTGGAGCTTAGAGCAACACTGGGAGGAAGGGGAGGATCAATGGCGGGAGGTGTGGGGGGTACTGTCCTAGTGGAACGGAGAAAAACTCCTCTCCTTCCTCTCTGTACTTTTGAACTCCACTTGCTGTTTTAACACTAAAGAGAACTGACCAAACAGCAATCTTTAACATCAAAATAACCCCTGATTTATGCTTCTTTAAAATGTTTTTAATGAATTTTTCTTTACCTGTTTGCTCAGAGTTCTATTCATGAATGTGACAAACTGTCGGGATAGTGGCCAGATGATTGCAAAGGGATTCTTGATAAAACTTTGCTCCCTTCTGATTGAGCATTTAAAAGAAATTCATTAACATGAAGGGAATAGCTGTGTACTCTACGTTACGCAGTAGTTGCAAACACCCCAGAAGTAAAATTGAGCTTTTTATTTTATACTTTTATTAAACACTAATATCTTTATATATTTTACTTCAAAGAATACAGTGCTCTTAAAAAGTTTTTGTCAACCCATAGATTTCTCTTGCCGTTGTATTTTTGTCAATCAAATCTGGAAATCAGACAAGGAACTCATAAAATTACTATTTTTTTTTTTTTATTATTGAACCATCTAAGCTTTGTGTGGAAAAAATACAAACCATCTTCTATATGTAAACATGAAGTAGCTGTGATAAACTACAATTTTTTGCAGCGTAAGTTACATTCTAGCTCTACTTGACAACTAGAAGCGTAACCTTACTGGAAAAAGGAGGATCAGGTTACAAAGCCACGTCGAAGGCCGTGGGAGTCTAGCAAATCACAGTGAGAAGCATTATTTACAAATTGGACTTCCGTAGTTGAGGTTCCCCAAACAATTCCCTCTAAAGAATTTATTGATCCCCAAGACTTTATGAGAATATTCTAGACTGACAAGACAGAAACTCTACAATGCAGGGTTGACAGAATGGGACAATGATCCAGAAGGTTTTAGAACGGCCTGGTCAAGATTTTCACCTAAACTTGATTGAGATCCAGGGACATGTCCTTAAACAGACCATAAATAAATGAAGGGTGGCTGAATTAAACCAAAACCAGAGGCAAAAATCCTCTACAAGGTAGTAAAAGTCTCAAAAATAAAGTGTCAGATTGGTTGTTATTACTCACGAAATCCTCATTAGATACAGATTTTCATATTTCTGTGACATGTGCGCAATGCTTTTTCACAGCACTGTATTTATGAATTCAAATCAAAACCTGGCAAGCCTATATTTATTTTTTTTTATCATAAATGCTGTAAACCAGTTTACAGTGAAGTGTTACAATTTTTAACTGTTGTGGCTCTTGCAGTCTTTGCACATTTACATAAGGTGAATAATAGTTATAAAGGAAGTTTATTTTCCTATTAAATTGCATTAAGCAAAGATCAAAATGACTTTAAAACGATCCAGGGAAGTCATATAGATTTTGTTAGATCTGATGCAGTGTTAAATATTAACATAGAGAGTTGTAGCTCATTCTGATTGGGTCAAACTGTGTTTTTTAAATCATTTGACTTTTATTTTCCTTTTTTACTTGTTTTTCAGAAGCACACTTTGCAGTAGCTGTTTTTTTCTCCCCATGCTTAATCAATTTTTTGAGTAATTGTAGAGTAATATGACCTCCAAGTCTTTTATTTGTCTTACCATAATGTAAGCCTTTTACTTACAGTATAATATAACTTGCCAATAAAGCCTACTTAGCAGAATAACAATAATTCATTGCAAGTATAGTTTGACCACATCTTATTTAAAAGTCCAGAATATGAAGCAAACACTTCAGTTATCACTCTAGTAGAGGCTTACAGTGCCTGTTAATATGCATGCATCGTTGTGAAAACTGACCGGAGAGGTCATGTGTGTTGGCATGACTTATCTTTCCAGCACGATGCAAACCAAAACCTTCTCCTTTTTGTCTCTAATGTTACAGTTAATGCAAATATACATTCGTTGATGATGAAAGTGCTCTTGGATGGTTATGGAAATGAAAATGTTGAGCCTGTCCATAAACCAGGTGGCATTCTCCTTTTTGAACTTTATCTGTGGTTAACCTCCTTTGTGTTGGAATCTCTGTCCTCAAAATTACAATTATGGTTTGCACTAAACTTGCCTGTTTTTATTAGGAATTGATGTATTTATATGTTTGGAAATGCGTGTAATAATTTTGTTTGCGTTGAAAATGTAAAAATAAACTGAATTCAGTGGAAAATCTCTGGAGTTATAAATTAATTTTTTGTTAAACTATTGTGAATTATATATGACCACTTAAAATTTTTAGTCTCACATCCATCATACTTTTCTTTTCAGCTGCAGAAATTATGCTTTTTAATAGAAGTCTTTCATTTATTGTTATCTGTTTTAATAGAGTTAACAGGTAAGAAACTGGGATTTATTGCGCTACAAGCTTGTTTACTGAAATTTCATGTGACTCAAACCAAATCTTAACAATTTAAGCTTTATTGAAGGATTGTATTAAAATATCTTATGAGAACAACATAAAAAAAGAAACAATAAAAAGAACAATCATTAAAAAAAATGTCCAATATTTTTTTCTCATTATATAGTAAAAATAGGATGAATCTGCCTGACAACAATCATTATCAGGGAACAGGAAGAAACAGTTTAGGGAACTCCTAATAGAATAAATGATAACCTATCAAACGTTATTCTCTTGCTGAAATTAAGTTCAATTTTGACTGAGCTTAGTCATTTGAATCACTTATAAAGATACATTTAAACATGCTTTTGCATGATATTATTCTTGTGATTTTATTCTTATGGGGGAAGGAACATTAACCCACATAAACAGTCTTGGTAAATGGATGATAAAACTTTTCATACCAGTCTGAGTACCAGTAACAGGTTTGTTCAAGTAATTTTACTTTATGATGTACTGGAAAATTATTTGAGATCCACATGATCAGAATTGTACTTTTTTTGTTTACATATTTCAGACTGGTTGCAAGCTCCAACAACCTCTGATGGTTTTAACTCATTTATCATCACCCAATTTGAAATTAATGTTACTGATTTTTGTCTATCAGAAAAAATATGTATTTAACACCTATTTTGGGTCATTTTTCTGTTACAGTTGTGGCTAAATTTTCTGAGGTTTAAGAGAGATTTTCCTATTTTTTTTTTTATTGATTCTTCTACTCTAGCATCTAAATGGCACAGTACAACCACCACACTACTTGACAGTTACTCTCAGTATCTTTGAAAATCTTACCTTCCCATTGACATTAAGCATCCATCCAGCTGCAAATTTTACTTAAACTGACTCATAGTGCTAATACTGTATTCAAGCAGAGGCTTCTTTTTGCTCAATACCGTCTAGTCCACAGCAATAAAACAGTAATATGATTTTTCATCAGCTTCTTGTTCATATAAGACACAAGTTTGGTAGTTTCTACATCTTTAACCCAATTTAGATGATAGATCTGTCTAACCTCCAACGGGTCTTGGTGGCTCTCCTCTCTTCCCCCAAAATTTAAGCCATCATCTGATGAATAGTGCAAGTTAGTACTATCAAGGTTAAATTCCCTTTTCCCTTTTGTATCTTCTGGCTATTTTGTAACTCTCCATCCTTTGCATAAACCTTTGTTGCTGTTGTTTTGTTACCTGTTGCAACAATGTATCCAGTTTGAATAAATATCACAGAAAATAACTTCATGATCATTTTTTTTTTTTACATTTTTTAAAATGCATAGGTGCACAGCTATAGTGTACCTTTACAAAAAGAAGTAAAATGTTAATGAATATATTTACATATAAGGTTTCTAGCATATTAAACTACATAATATAATAAGCTAACCAAGCAAGAATTCATTGATTCTGTGGATTTATCAGCATTTAAAACTCAGATCTTGTCTGTCTGTTTTCCTCTTGCACAGCGAGTGCTTCTACCGAGACAAAAAAAATATGGTTATACAGCAAAGTCATTTTTCATGCACAAACACACTTAGAATTTTAAACACCTTAAGGATATTTTTTAGTGCTGACAACTTTATAAATGACAGATGTCTGGACAAAAAAACGTGGAATCTGAGCTGCTGCTTGCCTTGCTTTTACAGAGTGCAAAGGTTCAAAGACCCACTTTGTTTGTGGGTCTATGAAAACAGAATATCAATCTACTGAGTTTCAAAGTGATGGGACCCTGTAACTACTGGTATTAATTTACACTTCTAAGGCTAACATGTTCATAGGATCTAAACATGATATTCTGGGACTATTTTAGGGGTTTTCATATTTGTTTATAAAGATTCTTCAGTCAAACTTCAGTGGTTAATTACTTGTTTCTACAACAAGATTACAGACTTTAAAACTTTTAGATTTTTCCATATTAAACTTTAACATAAGAGGAATTTGAAGCATTCCTCTGGCATCACTCACATGATATGTTGTTTGTTTTTCCCTATCCACTGTCACTACAAGCATTTTAAGTGTGAGTGATTGCCTTTGACTCAATGAGTCGATGCAATCAATTGGTTTTGGTTAGATAGAAAACTTTTGATTCAATTTGACTGTTTGATCTGGTTAAATTGTAAAGTGCCTTGAAATTACATGTGTTGTGAATTGGCGCTATATAAATAAACTGAATTGAAAACTTAAATGAATATATTATTATTATACAATCCAATTGGAAGAGCATTAGAATATGTATTTCAATGAGCCACATTTATCAGATAAAAAGCAGCTTTGAAAAATTAAAAGCCCTTTCAGCAGGTGTTGTTGGAAACATGCTTTCAATTAAGCCTAAGTTTCTGTGTTAAAAACTTACCTTTAAGTTAAGGAATCTTCTTATGATCTGATTCAAGTCTGCATTCTTGCATTGTAATTAAAATGTGACATTTCCTACCATGTTAAAAGGTAGCTTTTTGAAACCTGCTTCTTCAAAAGAGAAAAAATGTATATAGAAGAAATATTCTAAACTACTATTTCCAGTATTATGTATTTTAATATTAACCTTTGTTAAAAGCATTGTGCTTTTCTGATTACAGACTTGCTGAGTTTTAACATTCTTCTACGATTAGGGCAGCAAATTATTATACAGAACCATAGAAATCTGTATAGAATCTGGTAATAACAGGTGAGTGTGCTTGTATGAGTCATTGCTGCCACCTAGTGGCACTTTTTAAAACACATATTGTTCATTCTGGGCAAATTTTAATTAGATACATTTCTAACAAATGGTGCAAATAATTAAGCAGCAAAGACAATTACTTACCAAAGCATGAACAGAAAAAATGCATGTTATATATTTACAAATATCTAACCTGGAAGACTTACAGAAATTGGAAAGCTTAACACAAAAAAGCCGTTTGGATTATTTAGTGTTGGCTGATTTCTTAAAAATAAGCTCCCTCTAACAGTACTTGGTGTTTGTTACACATTATTTATAGTTTTAAAAAAGTCAGAGCCTGTTTCTGAGTATCATCAATGTTTTATTTTATTTTTTTGTTAGTAGGCTACAACCAAGCTTTAGGTGGCACTGCAGTTCTCCCATCAACAAACTTAGCTCTGAAGGGTTATATTTTTGGCAGCAGTGTGTTCTGGAGCACATGTTGGAGCACAAGGTGCATCATCATAAACAAAGCTCTAAAGACACATGCATATCCAAATAATAAATGTCTCCTCAAGCTGATGAAAAGATGGGGTCAGCCGGTCGCAGACACAAATAAACCCCTGTCCGGGTCAGATGTTCTTGCCCTGAAGAGTGACCCCCTCCCACCTTTCTCCGCTCTTATCCCCTCAGGGAATCTCAGAGCTCTTTCTCCCTTTAAGTAGGCTTGGCTGTCGCTGAGCCACAAGGGATGCAAGTCAGCAGGCAAAGGTTTCTGACATATGATCCAGCATCTGTGATGTCACCAACAGCTGACTTGTCTTAAGACCTTTGAGAAAGGGGGCTCTTATTGTCGACAGACCCTTAGTTGGAACTCTTGGTGCTAATGCATCAAGCTGCTGTGATTACAGACTGAATGACTGCTATTAGAGAGTGATTCTATAATCTATCTAATACCATAAGCCAGGGCTTGACAGACTTTGACCCAAGTCGCAGGTGTATAATGCTTTTTTATTCGCTCTGAGGGAGTATGTGTTCAACTTGTTAATTCCTCTGTAGGGCAAAATGTTCAACAAAGCTTTTCTTCACACAGGTGGTTGAGAGGTGCATAATATGAGCCAGA